TGGGCCAATGGGAGACGGGGAGAGGGGAAGGGGGTGGGGCCACGGGGGGCTTCGGGGGAGATCCCCAGGGCGACCGGTATGGACCAGTGCGACCGGTATGGACCAGTATGGACCGGTGTGACCGGTATGGACCAGTGTGACCGGTATGGACCAGTATGGATCGGTATGGACCAGTATGGACTGATGTGGGCCAGTATGGACCACTGCGGGCCAGTATGGACTGGTATGGACCAGTGTGACCAGTATGGACCAGTTCAGACAGTATGGACCAGTATGGGCTGCACCAGTGTGACCAGTGCTCCCAGTACAACCAGTGCTCCCAGTTTATAACCACTGCCCCCATTACAACCAGTGCTCCCAGTACAACCAGTGCTCCCAGTGTGACCAGTTTACAACCAGTGCCCCCAGTACAACTAGTGCTCCCAGTGTGACCAGTTTACAACCAGTGCTCCCAGTGCTCCCAGTACAACCAGTGCCCCCATTACAACCAATGCCCCCATTGTAACCGCCCCCCCCCGTACTGCCTCTGCCCCAGGGAAGTGGGAAGCACGTGACCTGGTGACGGGAGGGGCGGGATCAAGCGCAGCGGTGTGGGCGTGGCCACGTGGTGGGCGGGCTCATTGAACAGACAAGGGCCCTTTGGTGGGCGTGGTTATAGGGGCAGGCGTGGCCAAGGGAAAGATGGGCGGGGCCTGCGGCTGCGGGCGGGGCTGGGCTCGGATGGGGAGGGCGGGAGCGGAGGGGGCACGGGGGGGGGGCAACGAGGGCGCCCCGTGTGTAAGGGAGAAGGGGGGGGCACTGGGTGCGATGGATGCAATGGGTGCGATGGGTGCAATGGGTGCAAGGGGTGCACATGGGTGCAATGGGTGCAATGGGTGCACATGGGTGCAATGGGTGCACATGGGTGCACATGGGTGCACATGGGTGCAATGGGTGCGATGGGTGCAATGGGTGCACATGGGTGCACATGGGTGCAATGGGTGCTATGGGGACACTGGGTGCAATGGGTGCTATGGGGACACTGGGTGCAATGGGTGCTATGGGTGCAATGGGTGCAATGGGTGCAATGGGTGCCATGGATGCCATGGGTGCAATGGGTGCCATGGGTGCAATGGGTGCAATGGGTGCCATGGGTGCCATGGGTGCAATGGGTGCCATGGGTGCCATGGGTGCCATGGGTGCCATGGGTGCCATGGGTGCCATGGGTGCCATGGGTGCCGTGGGTGCCATGGGTGCCATGGGTGCAATGGGTGCCATGGGTGCCATGGGTGCCATGGGTGCAGGAGGTGCAATGGGTGCCATGGGTGCAATGGATGCAGTGGGTGCAATGGGTGCCATGGGTGCCATGGGTGCAATGGGTGCCATGGGTGCCATGGGTGCAGGGGGTGCAATGGGTGCCATGGGTGCAATGGGTGCAGGGGGTGCAATGGGTGCCATGGGTGCCATGGGTGCAATGGGTGCAGGGGGTGCGTGTGACCGTGTGGGTGCGCACAGGAGTGTGCAAAGAGGGGGCAGCACCGTGGGGGGGGGGGGGGCAGGACCCACCCCTGATCCTGGTGCATCCCAGGCCACCCAGGTCCGCTCTACTGGAGCTTCATTTCCACCCAATCCCATCTGACCCATCCCATCCCATTGCATTCCATCCCATTTAATCCATCCCTTCATCCCATCCCACCCAATCCCATCTGATCCATCCCATCCCATTGCATTCCATCCCATTTAATCCATCCCATCCCACCCAATCCCATCTGATCCATCCCATCCCATTGCATTCCATCCCATTTAATCCATCCCATCCCATTGCATTCCATTCCATCCCATCTGATCCATCCCATCCCATCCATCCCATCCGATCCATCCCATCCCATCCCATCTGATCCATCCCATCCCATTCATTCCATCCCATCCCTCAACCCCATCCACCATCCCATCCCATCCCATCTGATCCATCCCATCTGACCCATCCCATCCCATTGCATTCCATCCCATTTAATCCATCCCATCCCACCCAATCCCATCTGATCCATCCCATCCCATTTAATCCATCCCATCCCATTGCATTCCATTCCATCCCATCTGATCCATCCCATCCCATCTGATCCATCCCATCCAATCCATCCCATCCCATCCCATCTGATCCATCCCATCCCATTGCATTCCATCCCATTTAATCCATCCCATCCCACTGCATTCCATTCCATCCCACCTGATCCATCCCACCACATTGCATTTCATCCCATTTAATCCATCCCATTACATTCCATCCCATTTAATCCATCCCATCCCACCCCATCCCATCTGATCCATCCCATCCCATTGCATTCCATCCCATTTTATCCATCCCATCTCATTACATTCCATCCCATTTAATCCATCCCATCCCATTGCATTCCATCTGATCCATCCCATCCCGTTACATTCCATCCCATTTAATCTATCCCATCCCATTATATTCCATCCCATTCCCATCTGATCCAACCCATTTGATCCATCCCATCCCATCTGATCCATCCATCCCACCCCATTCCATCTCATCCATCCCGTTCCACTCTGATCCATCCCATCCCATCCCATCCCCATCTGATCTATCCCATTCCATCCCAACCATTCTATTAAATTCATCCCATCCCATTCCCACCCCACCCCATCCATTCCACCTCATCCCAGCCATCCCATTTCATTCATCCCATCCATCCCATTCCCATCCCACCCCATCCTAACCCATCCCATTCCATTCCCATCCCATCCCATCCATTCTGTGCCTCCCATCCCACCCCATTCCATTCCCATCCAATCCTAACCCATCCCATTCCATTCCCATCCCATCCATCCCACTCCATCCATTCCACCCCATCCCATCCTAACCCATCCCATCCATCCCATGCCTCCCATCCCATCCCATCCATCCCACCCAATCCTAACACATCCCATTCCATTTCCATCCCATCCATCCCATGCCACCCATCCCATCCCACCCATCCTAAACCATCCCATTCCATTCCCACCCCATCCATCCCATGCCTCCTATCCCACCCCATCCTAACCCATCCCATTCCATCCCCATCCCATCCATCCCACTCCATCCATTCCACCCCACCCCATCCTAACCCATCCCATTCCATTCCCACCCCATCCATCCCATGCCTCCCATCCCACCCCATTCCATCCCCATCCCATCCATTCTGTGCCTCCCATCCCATCCCATTCCATTCCCATCCAATCCTTACCCATCCCATTCCATTCCCATCCCATCCATCCCACTCCATCCATTTCACCCCATCCATCCCACCCTCTCCCACCTCTTCCCCCATTCCCATCACACCCCATCTCCATTCCATTCCCATCCCATCCATCCCACTCCATCCATTCCACCCCATCCCATCCTAACCCATCCCATCCATCCCATGCCTCCCATCCCACCCCATCCTAACCCATCCCATTCCATTCCCATCCCATCCATCCCATGCCTCCCATCCCACCCCATCCCATCCTAACCCATCCCATTCCATTCCATCCCATCTATTCCATGACTCCCATCCCACCCTCTCCTTCTTTTTCCCCCATTCCCAACCCACCACATCCTAACCCATCCCATTCCCTCCCCATCCCATCCGTCCCACTCCATCCATTCCACCCCATGCCATCCTAACCCATCCCATCCATCCCATGCCTCCCATCCCACCCCATTGATCCCACCCCATCTTAACCCATCCCATTCCATTCCCACCCCATCCATCCCATGCATCCCATCCCACCCCATCCCATCCCATCCCACTCCCATCCCACTCCCATTCCCATCCCATCCCAGTCCCATCCCACTCCCATTCCCATCCCGTCCCATTCCCATTCCCATCCCATCCCCATCCCATTCCCGTCCCGTCCCTCCCCGCGATGCCGCCGCTGCCGTTGGACTCCAGCCCGGTCCCAGCCCCTCTCGGGGCCGTCCCCCCCCCCCGCTGCCGCCCTCCCCGGTTCCGGTACCGGCGCCACCCGAAGCCCCCCTACTCGTACCTGGCGCTCATCGCGCTCGTCATCCGCGCCGCCCCGGGCCGCCGCCTCAAGCTCGCGCAGGTACCGGGAACACCGGGAACACCGGGACCCCCCCCCCGGGAACACCGGGAACCCCCGACCCCCTCCCGGGAACATCGGGAACATCGGGAACATCGGGGACCCCCCCGGGAGCACCGGGAATCCCCCCCCGGGTACATCGGGAGCATCGGGAACACCGGGAACATCGGGAACCCCCCCCGGGAACACTTCGGGAACCCCCCCCGGGAACATCGGGGACCCCCCCCCCGAGAACAAATCGGGAACTCCTGAACCCCCCCCCCCCCCGGGAACACCCGAATCCCCCCTCGGGAACACTTCGGGAATACCGGGAACAACCCTGGGAACACCGGGAACATCGGGAACACCCCCCGGGAACACCGGGAACAACCCCGGGAACACCGGGAGTACCCGAACCCCCCCCGGGAACACCGGAACCCACCCGGTAACACCTCGGTACCACCGGGAACACCCGACACACCCCCCCCCCCCCGATAACATCCCGGTATCACCGGTAACACTGGAATCCCCCCCCCCCGGAAAGACACCGGGAACAGCCGAACCCCCCCCCCCCCCGGGAACACCCCAGTACCACCGGTAACACCGATATCACCCCGGTATCACCCCGGTATCACCGGTACCACCCCCGTATCACCCCGGTACCTCCGTTATCAGCGCGGTACCATCAGTATCACCCCGGTAGCACCCCGGTACCTCCGTTATCACCCCGGTACCATCAGTATCACCCCCGTATCACGCCGGTACCTCCAGTATCACCCCGGTACCATCAGTATCACCCCAGTATCACCGGTACCATCCCAGTATCACCCCCGTATCACCCCGGTACCACCGGTATCACCCCGGTACCATCAGTATCACCCCGGTAGCACCCCGGTACCTCCGTTATCACCCCGGTACCATCAGTATCACCCCCGTATCACGCCGGTACCTCCAGTATCACCCCAGTACCATCAGTATCACCCCAGTATCACCGGTACCATCCCAGTATCACCCCTGTATCACCCCGGTACCACCAGTATCACCCCGGTACCATCAGTATCACCCCCGTATCACCCCGGTACCTCCGGCATCATCCCGGTATCACCGGTACCTCCGATATCACCCCGGTACCATCAGTATCACCCCAGTACCATCAGTATCACGCCCTTATCACCCCGGTACCATCAGTATCACCCCAGTATCACCGGTATCATCCCAGTATCACCCCGGTATCACCGGTACCTCCGGTATTACCCCGGTTTTGGGACCCCCCCATCACCCCCAACCCCTCATCCCTATGAGGGATGGGGGGGGGATGAGGACCCCCATGAGAACCCCCCAACCCCCCCCAACCCCCATAGGGCCCCTTTGGGACCCCCGTGACCCCCACACGACCCCCCCCCCCCCCCCCGGACCGGTCCCTCCGGTCCCGGCGCCGATGCAAATGAGCCCGCGGGGGGCCGGGCGCCATTGGGGGGGGGGGGTGTCGGCTTTGTCGCCTCTGTCGATGTTATCGCCGCTATCGCCGCTATCGCTGCATCGCCCGGAGCGCTGAGGCTGCAGCGACACCTCCCTGCCCCCACCCCGGGGGGGGTCCCATTGAGAGGGGGGGTCCTAAAGGGGAAAAGGGGGGGAAAAGGGGGGGACCCATTGATGGGGGGGTCCTAAAAGGGAAAAGGGGGGGGAAAGGGGGGGAAAAGGGGGGACCCATTGATGGGGGTGTCTTAAAGGGGAAAGGGGGGTCCCCATTGATGGGGGGGTCACCAATGGAGGGGTCTTAAAGGGGAAAGGGGGGGGCCCCATTGATGGGGGGGTCCCCATTGGAGGGGTCCTAAAGGGGAAAGGGAGGGAAACGGGGGATCGCCATTGATTTTTAGGGTCCTAAAAGGGAAAAGGGGGGGGAAAGAGGGGGTCCCCATTGATGGGGGGGTCACCATTGGAGGGGTCTTAAAGGGGAAAGGGGGGGTCCCCATTGATGGGGGGGTCACCATTGGAGGGGTCTTAAAGGGGAAAGGGGGGGTCCCCATTGATGGGGGGGTCACCATTGGAGGGGTCTTAAAGGGGAAAAAGGGGGTCCTCATTGATGGGGGGGTCACCATTGGAAGGGTCTTAAAGGGGAAAGGGGGGGTCCTCATTGATGGGGGGGTCACCATTGGAGGGGTTTTAAAGGGGAAAGGGGGGGTCCCCATTGATGGGGGGCCCCATTGTGGGGGGAGTCCCCATGGATGGAGGGGTCCCCATTGGAGGGGTCCTAAAGGGGAAAGGGGGCAGGAAAGGGGGGGGGGAAGGGGGGGTCACCATTGATTGGGGGTTCCTAAAGGGGAAAGGGGGGGAAAAGGGGAGGGAAAGGGAGGGTCCCCATTGATAGGGGGGGTCCCCATTGCAGGGGTCCTAAAGGGGAAAGGGGGGGTCTTCATTGGAGGGGTCTTAAAGGGGAAAGGGGGGGGTCCCCATTGATGGGGGTACCCCAGAGTGGGGGGTTTGGGGGTTGGGGGGGGGGGGGGGGGTGGTTTTGTGGGGTGGTGGGGGGGGTCCCCATTGGAGGATTCCTAAAGGGGAAATGGGGGGGTCCCCATTGATGGGGGTACCCCAGGGGGTGTTTGTGTTGGTCCCCATAAGGGGGGTTCCCCATTGGGTACGGGGTTGTCCCTGGGGTGGTGGGGAGGGTCCCCAAGAGGTGTCTCCAATGGAGAACCCCCATTGGGTGGGAGAGGCCTATTATGGGGGGTTCCCATAGGGTGGGGGGGGTCCCAATTAATTGGGGCATCCCCATTGGGGGGGGATGTCTCCAATGGAGTGTCCCCACATTGGCCCCTCCATTGGGGGGGGTGATGGGGATGATTTAGGGGTGCAGCCCCCCCATTAATGGGATTATTCCTGCCCCCCATTAATGGGATATTCCTGCCCCCCATTAATGGGATTATTCCTGCCCCCCATTAATGGGATTATTCCTGCCCCCCCATTAATGGGATATTCCTGCCCCCCATTAATGGGATTATTCCTGCCCCCCCATTAATGGGATTATTCCTGCCCCCCATTAATGGGATTATTCCTGCCCCCCATTAATGGGATTATTCCTGCCCCCCATTAATGGGATATTCCTGCCCCCCATTAATGGGATATTCCTGCCCCCCATTAATGGGATATTCCTGCCCCCCCATTAATGGGATATTCCTGCCCCCCATTAATGGGATATTCCTGCCCCCCCCATTAATGGGATATTCCTACCCCCCATTAATGGGATTATCCCTGCCCCCCCAGATTATCCAGGAGATCCGGAGCCTGTTCCCGTTCTTCGGGGGGGGGTACCAGGGATGGAAGGATTCGGTGCGGCACAACCTCTCCTCCAACCCCTGCTTCGCCAAGGTGAGGGGGGGGGCAAGGATTTGGGGGGCCCCTATGGACGGGTATGGGGGTTGCCACTTTTTGGGGTGAAATCACTCATTTTTGGGGTCCCTTTTAATTTTCTTTGGGGGGTCCACTCTTCTCTATGAGCAGCATCTGCTTCTGGGGGGGTTAAGATTTGGGGGTCCCCCTATGGAGGGGAATGGGGGGGGTCCCACTTTCTGGGGTAAAATCGCCCTTTTTTGGGGGGCCTCTTAATTTTGGGGTGAAATCACCCATTTTTGGGGTCCCTCTTCTTTTGGGGGGGGCATCCTTCTTCTCTGTGGGCAGCATCTGCTTCTGGGGGGGTTAAGATTTGTGAGTCGCTGTATGGAGGGGTTTGGGGATGCCCCTTTTTGGGGTAAAATCACGCTTTTTTGGGGTCCCTCTTAATTTTGGGGTGAAAGCAACGATTTTTGGGGTCCCTTTTAATTTTTGGGGGGTCCACTCTTGTCTATGGGCAGCATCCGCTTCTGGGAGGGGCAAGGATTTGGGGGTCCCCCTATGGACGGGTATGGGGGGGTGCTACTTTTTGGGGTGAAATCAGCCATTTTTGGGGTCCCTATTCATTTTGGGGTGAAATCACCCATTTTTGGGGTTCCTCTTCATTGGGGGGGGGGATCCCTCTTCTCTATGGGCAGCATCTGCTTCCGAGGGGGTTAAGATTTGCGGGTCCCTGTATGGAGGGGTTTGGGGGGGGTGTCACTTTTTTGGGGTAAAATCACGCTTTTTTGGGGCCACTCATAATTTTGGGGTGAAATCACCCATTTTTGGGGTCCCTCTTCATTTGGGGGGGACATCCCTCTTCTCTATGGGCAGCATCTGCTTCTGTGGGGGTTAAGATTTGGGGGTCCCACTATGGAGGGGTGTGGCGGGGTGCCATTTTTTGGGGGTGAAATCGCCCTTTTTGGGGTCCCTCTTCATTTTGGGGTGAAATCACGCTTTTTTGGGCTCCCTTTTAATTTTTTTTGGGGGGGTTCACTCTTCTATGGGCAGCATCTGCTTCATGGGGGTTAAGATTTGGGGGTCCCACTATGGAGGGGTATGGTGGGGTACCACTTTTTGGGGTGAAATCGTCCTGTTTTGGGGTCCCTTTTAATTTTGGGGTGAAATCACCCTTTTTTGCGGTCCCTTTTAATTTTGGGGGGTCCACTCTTCTCTATGGGCAGCATCTGCTTCTGGGGGAGTTAACATTTGGGGGTCCCCCTATAGAGGGGTATGGCGGGGTGCCACTTTTTGGGGTGAAATTGCTCTTTTTTGGGGTCCCTATTCATTTTGGGGTGAAATCACCCTTTTTTGGGGTCCCTTTTAATTTTTTGGAGGGGTCCACTCTTCTCTATGGGCAGCATCCGCTTCCAGGGGGAGCAAGATTTGGGGGTACCCCTATGGAGGGGTAGGCGGGGGGGGACTCACTTTTTTGGGGTGAAATCGCCCTTTTTTGGGGTCCCTCTTAATTTGGGGAGGGGGCATCCCTCTTCCATATGGGCAGCATCCGCTTCTGGGGGGGGTTAATATTTGGGGGTCCCCCTATGAAGGGGTGGAGGGGGGTCCCACTTTCTGGGGTGAAATCACCCTTTTTGGGGTCCCTTTTAATTTTGGGGGCATCCCTCTTCTCTATGGGCAGCATCCCCTTCCCATTGCTAGGCTCACACTTGGGGGGTCCCAATGTCTTTTTGGGGCTAAACCCCTCAATTTTGGGGCTCTGGACCCAGTTTGGCCCTGATTTACACAGTTTTGGTGCAAATTGGCATGGTTTTGGGTTGGTTTCCCCAGGTTTTGAGTGTGACCCCCCCTTTTTGGGGCGATTTATGCAATTTGGGGTGTATTGAGACCATTTTGGGGGTGATATCCCCATTTTTTGACATCTAAACCCTTTTTTGGGGCAATTTACACATTTTTGGGTGTATTGAGCTAATTTTCGGGGTGATATCCCCATTTTTTGACATCTAAACCCATTTTTGGGGTGATAAATCTGTTTTTTGGTTGTATTTCCCCATTTTGGGGCAGATTTCCCCATTTTGGGGGCCATATTCCCATTTTTGGGGCCGGTTTACCCATTTTTTGGAAGTCTGAACCCATTTTTGAAGGGTCTGTCTCAATTTTTTGGGGGAATTTACTTATTTTGGGGTGTATGAACCCATTTTGGGGGTGATTTACCCATTTTTGGGCTGACACCCCCTTTTTTGGTGGGTCTGTGCCCACTTTTGGGGCTGATTTATCCATTTTTGGGGTGTTTTGCCCAGTTTTTAGGTCTCTAAACCCACTTTTTGGGGTGATTTATCCATTTTTGGGGTGTTTTGTTTTGTGGTGTCTGAGTGCACTTTCTGGGGTGATTTACCCATTTTTGGGGAGTTTTGCCCAGTTTTGAGATCTCTGAACCCACTTTTTTGGGGTGCTTTATCCATTTGGGGGGTGATTTACCCATTTTTGCAGTGTTTTGCCCTGTTTTTAGGTGTCTGAACCCACTTTTTGTGGTCATTTACTGATTTTAGGTGGTGATTTATCCTTTTTTTGGGGTGTTTTTCCCTGCTTTCAGGTGTCTGGACCTAATTTGGGGTGATTCAACCATTTTTCGGGTGTTTCTTTCCATTTTTGTTGTGATTTACCTGTTTTGGGGGTGTTTTGCCTGGTTTTCACGTGTCTGAACCTACTTTTGGGGGTGATTTACCCATTTTTCTTGTGTTTTACCTATTTCTGTGCTGTCCTCCCCATTTCTGTTGCGTTTCACCCGTTTTTGTGCTGTTTTCCCCACTTTTGCTGTGTTTTCCCCAGTTTTGCCTTATTTTCCCTTTTTTTGCTGTGTTTTCCCCATTTTTGCTGTGTTTTCCCCATTCTTACTGTATTTTCCCCATTTCCTTGCTGTTTTCCCCATTTGTGCCGTATTTTCCCCATTTCCCCCATATTTTCCCCATTTCCATGCTGTTTTCCCCATTTCCCTGCTGTTTTTCCCCATTTCCCCATATTTTCCCCATTTCCCCTGTTTTTCCCCATTTTCCTCATATTTTCGCCGTTTCTGTGCTGTTTTTTGCCATTTTTGCCTTATTTCCCCATTTCCCCGTATTTTCCCCATTCTTGCTGCATTTCCCCCATTTCCCCACTGTTTTTCCCCATTTCCCAGCTATTTTTCCCTGTTTCCCCATATTTTCCTCATTTTCCCACTGTTTTTCCCCATTTCCCCGTATTTCCATCAATTCCGTGCTGTGTTTCCCCATTTTCCCTGTATTTTCCCTATTTTCCTGTGTTTTCCCCATTTTCCCCTTATTTTCCCCCTTTCCCCTGTATTTTCCCCATTTCTCTTCTGTTTTTCCCTGTTTCCCCGCATTTTCTCCATTTCTGTGCTGTTTTTTCGCATTTTCTCTGTATTTTCCCCATTTCCCCATATTTTCTCCATTTTTGCCTTATTTCTACCATTTCCCTGATGTTTTCCCCCATTCCCTGCATTTTCCCCATTTCTCTGCTGTTTTCCCCATTTGTCTGCTGTTTTCCCCCTTATTTTCTCCATTTCTGTGCTGGTTTTCCCCGTATTTTCCCCATTTCCCTGCTGTTTTTCCCCATCTCCCCTCTGTTTTCCCCATTTCCCCCATATTTTCCCCATTTTCCCATATTTCCCCCATATTTTCTCCATTCCCCATATTTCCCCATATTTTCCCTATCTCCTCGCTGTTTTTCCCCATTTCCCCACATTTTCCCCATCTCCCCTCTGTTTTTCCCCATTTCCCCGTACTTCCCCTTATTTTCCCCATTTCCCCACTGTTTTTCCCCATTTCCCCCATATTTTCCCCATCTCCCCTCTGTTTCCCCATTTCCCCCGTATTTTCCCCAATTCCCTGTATTTCCCCATATTTTTCCCATCTGCCCTGTTTTTCCCCATTTCCCCCATATTTTCCCCATTTTCCCATATTTCCCCCATATTTTCTCCATTTCCCCGTATTTCCCCATATTTTCCCCATCTCCCCACTGTTTTTCCCCATTTCCCCTCTGTTTTTCCTCATTTCCCCCCTGCTTTTCCCCATCTCCCCTCTGTTATTCCCCATATTTTCCCCATATTTCCTCATATTTCCCCTCTGTTTTTCCCCATCTTCCTTCTGTTTTCCCCATTTTCCCCATTTCCCCCATATTTTCCTGTATTTCCCCATATTTCCCCTCTGTTTTTCCCCATTTCCCCTCTGTTTTTCCCCATTTCCCCCATTTTTCCCAATTTCCCCCACATTTTCCCCATTTCCCCCATATTTCCCCCATTATTTCCCCATATTTCCCCATTTCCCCTCTGTTTTTCCCCATTTCCCCTCTGTTTTTCCCCATTTCTCCCATATTTTCCCCATTTTCCAGTATTTCCCCCATATTTTCCCCATTTCCCCCATTATTTCCCCATATTTCCCCATATTCCCCCATATTTCCCCATTTCCCCCATATTTTCCCCATTTCCCCCATCTTTCCCCTCTGTTTTTCCACATTTCCCCGTATTTCCCCCATTATTTCCCCCATTATTCCCCCATATTCCCCCCTGTTTTCCCCCATTTCCCCCACATTCTCCCCCCTTCTCCCCCTCCAGGTCCTCAAGGACCCCTCCCGCCCGCAGGCCAAGGGGAACTTCTGGACCGTGGACCTGAGCCGCATCCCCGCGGGGGCGCTGCGCCTGCAGAACACGGCCGTGGCCAGGGGGGGCTCCGCCGCCTTCCCCCCCGACCTCACCCCCTTCATCCTGCGGGGATGCCGCCCCCCGTCCCCTCCCCCACACTCCCCTCCCCCCCCCTCCTCCCCCCCCCGCAGCTCCTTCTCCATCGCATCCCTATTGAGCCATACGGATAAAACTGATGGGGACCCCCCCACATTACCCCCCCTCCCCCATCCTCATCCCCCCCCTCCCCCGCTATGGGCACCCCCGCCCCCTCCATGGGCCCCCCCTCCCCCATGGGGGCAGCTCCCCACTTCCTACAGCACCGCCGTGGCCCCCAACGCCGTAGCCCCCCCTGCCGGCCCCCCCCTGCTGCCGCTGCGATGGGGGGGGCTCCCCCCCGCAACAGCCCCTCCCCCCCCTCCCCCTCGGACCCCTCCCCCCCCTCCCCATAGCCCCGGAGGGGGCCCCCCGCCCCCCAATAAGAGCGTTTTTGACGTCTGGCTCAGCCACCCCGCGGACACCGCCCCCCCCGCGCTCCGTTGACCTCTGGGGAACCCCCCCCTTGTGTGACCCCCTTCCTCCCCCTCCCCCCCCCGTGGTACCCAATAAAGAGGACGTGGGGGAACCCCCAGGGACCTGTGTGATGGGGGGAGGGGAGGGGGACCCCTCTCAGTGAGGGGGTGCGGGAGGGGGGGAACCCCGATATCCCTGCACCCTCTTATCCATCCCTGTATTCCCATATCGTTCCCTGCACCCCCATATCCATCCCTGTACCCCCATATCTATCCCTGCACCCCCATATCCATCCCTTTATCCCCATATCCATCCCTGCACCCCCATATCCATGCCTGCATTCCCATACCCATCCCTGCACACCCATATCCATCCCTGCACACCCATATCCATCCCTGCAGCCACATATCCATATGTGCACCCCCATATCCACCCCTGCAGCCCCATATCCATATGTGCATCCCCATATCCATCCCTGCACCCCCATATCCATCCCTGCAGCCCCATATCCATCCGTGCACCCCCATATCCATCCCTGCACCCCCATATCCATCCCTGCATCCCCATATCCATCCCTGCATCCCCGTTTCCATCCCTGTATCCCAATCTGCATCCCTGTATCCCCTCATTCCCCCTTTCCCCTTCCCTCCGGTCCCTTTGCACATCAAAGAGCCGCCGGCACCCGGCAGGAGACGGGTGATTGGCGGGTGATCGACGGTGATTGGCTGGCGGGTGATCGATAGCGATCGATTGTGATTGGGCGGGCGCTGATTGCGTCACCCCGGGGGGTCCCGGGCCCAGATAACGCCCGGACCGGGCGGCGCCGCTGAGTCCGTGCCTGTGGGGAGCGGGACGTGGCGGGCAGAGCCGAGGACACCCGGATCGACCCGAACTGAGCCGAGCTGAGCCGAGCACACCCGAACCGAGCCGAACCGAACCGAGCTGAGCCGAGCCGGCAGGCAGAGCCGAGCACACCCGAACCGAGCCGAGGGTACCCAAACAGCCGAGCAGAGCCGAATACAGCCGAACCGAGCCTAACACACCCGAACTGAGCCGAGCACACGCGGACCGAGCCGAACCAAGCCGAACGGAGCCGAGCTCACCCGAACACAGCTGAACTGAGTCGAAGCCGGCCGGCAGGCAGAGCCGAGCCGAGCAGAGCCGAGAACACCCAAACCGAGCCAAGTCCAGCCGAACCGAACCGAGCCGAACGGACCCAAACTGACCCGAACAGATCCGAACCAACCTTAACCGACGCGATCCGACCCGAAGTGATCCGAACCGACCCGAAATGACCCGAACCGACCCCGAACCGACCAACAAACTTAAACAGGGGAAGTTTAGATTGGATCTAAGGAGGAAATCCTTTCCTGTTAAGGTGCCGAGGCACTGGAATGGGTTGCCCAGGGAGGTTGTGAATGCTCCATCCCTGGCAGTGTTCAAGGCCAGGTTGGACGAGGCCTTGGGTGATATGGTTTAGAGCGAGGTGTCCCTGCCCATGGCAGGGGGGTTGGAACTGGATGATCTTAAGGCCCTTTCCAACCGGAACTATTCTATGATTCTATACTGGTCCATACCGAGCTATGCTGGTCCATACCCTGCACCCACCACCCCCCGCCCGCTAGGTGGCGCCGTTCCCCTCCCGCCGCCATCTTGGTCGCGTCCTGTCCCCACCCCAATCCTCCTTTATCCCCCCCCATCACCACCCACTTCCGCCCAGATCCTTGTCCACTTCCGGCTTCACCGGAAGCGTTGCCGCGTTGCCACGGCAACCGCAGGGGCCGGGCCTGAGGAGGCCGCGCAGGTACCGGATGAGGGGAACGGGGCCGGGAACGGGGCCGGTACCGGGGGAAGGGAGGGGTCCAAAGGGGGGGATGGGGATGGAGGGGAGGGGAGGGGGTTGGTAGGGACCGGAGCGGGGGGGGTGGGGGGTTAGGCCGCGGCCTCCGGGCCTCCAGTGTGAGCCATGGAGGGGAGGAGGCCTCGGGACAGGCCCCCCCTCCTCCTCCAGGCCTTGGGATCCCCATTGGGGTTCCCCATTGGGAATGCGATGGAGCAGGACAACATTCCCCACCCCCCGCTTCCATTCCGTTGGGAAGGGGATTTGGGAATAGGCCTGCCCCCTCCCCCCCCAAAGCAGCTCCTTAGGGATTAACCCGGCCCCAGCATTCCCAAGGGTTTAAGGCCGGGATGAAGATGCTGGAATCCTGCCCACCCCCCCATTCCCGGTTGGACTTTGCCCGGTTCCCAAGGAATTCGCTTCCGCCTTGGATTATGGGGGGGGGGGGTTGGGGGGGTGAATCCTGGATCAGGGAAGGGGGAAAACAGGAGAGGGGGATGGGGAAAGCTGAGCTTTTTCCCTATTTCCTTAAGGATTCCTTCCCTTTTCACTATGGGGTTCCACCCTTTTCCCTATCGGATTCCATCCCTTTTCCCTATCGGATTCCATCCCTTTTCCCTATCGGATTCCATCCCTTTTCCCTATCGGATTCCATCCCTTTTCCCTATAGGCTTCTTTCCCTTTTCCCTATAGGCTTCTTTCCCTTTTCCCTATAGGATTCCTTCCCTTTTCCCTATGGGATTCCTTCCCTTTTCCCTATGGGATTCCTTCCCTTTTCCCTATGGAATTCTTTCCCTATTTCCTATAGCATTCCATCCCTTTTCCCTATAGGATTCGTTCCCTTTTCCCTATCGGATTCCTTCCCTTTTCCCTATGGAATTCTTTCCCTTTTCCCTATGGGATTCCTTCCCTTTTCCCTATAGGATTCCAGCAAGCAGCGCAGCCCGGACAACCCAGAGCCAGCTGAATCCAGCATCATTCCCAGCGGGTTTTCCCAGCTCCTCCATGCCCCTGGCAGTGTGGTGGCCCCAATTCCAGAGGGCAGGAAGCTGAAAACTCCCTCGGGATCACTGAGCCGAAGGCGAAGATTTGGGCTCGGATCGACCGCATTTGCTCCGTGAATCCGGAATCCGCTGGGAATCGGGATTGGGACCCCCCCCCCCATCATCATCATCATCCCTTTGGATGCTGAGCCCCCCCCATCACCATGGCGATGATCCCACAATTCCCATCCCTGCCTCCGGAATGCGCCCCCAAGCACCAACCAAGCACCGGGATCCAGGGCTAAGCCTTTACCCCCCCCCCCCCCATTCCCGCTTGGGAGGTGATGCCGGTGGTGGCTCCGGCGCCATTCCCATTGGGATCCATCAGCAGCGCTGCCCATGGCAGAGCACCAGGAGCTGGTGGCCGAGATGCCGGCGGTGGCGCGGCTCGGTATTCCCGACCGGCTGCGCCATGCCCGGGAACGCCGGGCCCAGCAGCTCCGGAGCTGGGCCCAAGCCGAGCGGGAAGCACCGGGAAGCGATGCTGGAGCCGAGAGGAAGAGGAGGAGGAGGAGGAAGAGCGGTGGAAGCGGTGCCCATGGGAAGAGGGTGACGTTCCCGGATAGCATCCGGCTCTTGGAAGCGGCTGCCCGGCGAGATGCTGAGGAGGGTGGGTGCTGGGGGGGGGGGGGAATCCCATGGGATTGGGGTGGGGAATGGGATGGAGATCCTAAATTTGAGTGTGAATGTGCTGGGAAATGAGCCTGGAGCTTGGAATGTTGAGGTGGGAGCATCGTGAGGTTGAACAAGGGCAAGGAATTGGAATTGGGTTGGGAGAATCCCAATCCCCATCCCACTCCCAGGCTGGAGGAAGTTTCCAGTGGAGGATCCAATGGGATTGGGGTGGGAAATGGGATGGAGATCCCAAATTTGGGTCTAAATATCCTGGAAAATGAGCCTGGATCTTGGAATGTTGAGGTAGGGGCATCGTGAGGTTGAACAAGGGCAAGGAATTGGAATTGGGTTGGGATAATTGCAATGCCAGGCTGGAGGAAGTTTCCAGTGGAGGATCCAATGGGTTTGGGATGGAAAATGAGATGGAGATCCCAAATTTGGGTTTAAATGGGCTGGGAAATGAGCCTGGAGCTTGGAATGTTGAGGTGGGAGCATCGTGAGGTTGAACAAGGGCAAGGAATTGGATTTGGGTTGGGATAATCCCAATCCCATGCTGGAGGAAGTTTCCAATGGAGGATCCGATGGGATTGGGGTGGGAAATGGGATGGAGATCCCAAATTTGGGTCTGAATGTGCTGGGAAATGAGCCTGGAGCTTGGAATGTTGAGGTGGAAGCATTGTGAGGTTGAATATGGGCAAGGAATTGGATTTGGGTTGGGATAATCCCAATCCCCATCCCAATCCCAGCCTGGAGAAAGTTTCCAGTGGAGGAGCCAATGGGATTGGAGTGAAAAATGGGATGGAGATCCTAAATTTGGGTCAGAATGTGCTGGAAAATGAGCCTGGAGCTTGGAATGTTGAGGTGGGAAAATCATGAGGTTGAATATGGGCAAGGAATTGGAATTGGGTTGGGATAATCCCAATCCCAATCCCATGCTGGAGGAAGTTTCCAGTGGAGGATCCGATGGGTTTGGGATGGAAAATGGGATGGAGATCCCAAATTTGGGTCTGAATGTGCTGGGAAATGAGCCTGGAGCTTGGAATGTTGAGGTGGGAAAATCATGAGGTTGAATATGGGCAAGGAATTGGATTTGGGTTGGGATAATCGCAAGGCCAGGCTGGAGGAAGATTCTGGTGGAGGATCCAATGGGATTGCGGTGGGAAATGGGATGAAGATCCCAAATTTGGGTCTAAATATCTTGGAAAATGAGCCTGGAGCTTGGAATGTTGAGGTGGGAGCATCGTGAGGTTGAACGAGGGCAAGAAATTGGATTTGGGTTGGGATAATCCCAATCCCAATCCCACTCCCAGGCTGGAGGAAGTTTCCAGTGGAGGAACCAGTGGGATTGGAGTGAAAAATGGGATGGAGATCCCAAATTTGGGTCTGAATGTGCTGGGAAATGAGCCTGGAGCTTGGAATGTTGAGGTGGGAGCATTGTGAGGTTGAATAAGGGCAAGGAATTGGATTTGGGTTGGGATAATCCCAATCCCAAACACAGGCTGTGGGAAGTTTCCAGGGGAGGATCCGATGGGATTGTGGTAGGAAATGGGATGGAGATCCCAAATTTGGATGGAAGTATCCCAGAAAATGAGCCTGGATCTTGGAAGCGTGGATCTGGTGAGGGATTGAGGCTGAGGTGGGATCAAGATGGGATTGAGATGGGAACACCACGAGGTTGGGACAATCCCAATCCCAGGCACAGGCTGGAAGGGGATGGGATGGAGCATCCCTGAGGAGAACACTTGGAGGTGTGGGGTGAGGAGATGCTCCATGGGATCCATCTCCATGGCTCCATATGGACCTGGATTACCTGGAACGGATCCGGAGGAGCCCATGGAGAAGCTCCATGAGGGTGGTGGGACCCAGGAATGGGATGGATGGAGCTCCATTTCCAGCAGCCATTGCCTGGCTCTTGGAGCACCCTTTGGTCCCTTCCATCCCAACATTCCATGATCCCATCTCCAACCCCATCCCACATCCACAGTCCGACAATTCCTGGCCAGCGGCATCAACCCCGACCTGTGCAACGAGGACGGCCTCACCGCTCTGCACCAGGTACCACATCCTTCCCAACCCAAATCCCATGGGGTTTATCCCATGGTTTTCCATGTTATCCCATGCTTTTCCCTCTAAGAGCTGCATTGATGACTGCGGGGCCGTGGTGACCGCGTTGGTGGACGCCGGTGCCGACGTCAACGCCGTCGATAGCGAGCTCTGGACCCCTCTTCATGCAGCAGCGACCTGCGGCCACCTGGGCCTGGTGCAGCTCCTGATCCAACGGTAACACCGGGATATGGGAATGGGAACGGGGGTTTGAGGCCGCTGCGGATCCCGATCCCATGCTTTGATCCCTAAATCCCAGCGGAGCCGATCTGCTGGCGCTCAACTCCGATGGGAACATGCCCTACGACCTATGCGAGGACGAGGCGACGTTGGATTGCTTGGAGAGCGCCATGGCGGCGCAGGGTGAGCATCACCACCATGGATCCGTTGGGATCCATTGGGATCCATTGGGATCTATGGGTTGTCCTCTCCTTGGTGTTCCCTTAGGGATCACACAGGAGAAGATCGAGGAGGCTCGCGGCGCTCCGGAACGCGGGATGCTGGCGGAGATCCGGCGCCTCCTGGATGCTGGAGAGGACCTGGATGCTCCACGGGGCCATGGGGCCACCTTGGTAGGGAATTGGGAATGGGATAGGATTGGGGTGAGGGGGGGGATGGCCTCATTCCCAACTGGATCCTCCCCATTCCCAACAGCTCCATGTGGCCGCGGCCAATGGGTACGTGGAGGCGGCGGAGCTGCTGCTGGAGCATCGCGCCGGGATCGCCGTCCGGGATCGGGATGGATGGGAGCCACTGCACGCTGCTGCCTTCTGGGGACAGGTAGGGTGGCATTCTGCATGGATTCGGCCTCATTCCCACCCCGTTCGGGGCAAAATGGGGCCAAAATTGGCAATTTTCACCAATTGTGCTCAATTCTAGGCGAAATTCTCAATTTTCGGCAGGATTTTGCTCAATTCTAGGCGAAATTCTCGATTTTCGGCAGGGTTTTGCTCAATTTTAGGCAAAATTTGCCCATTTTCAGGGAAATCCTGCCCAATTTGACTCAATTTTAAGGAAAATTCCTGATTTTCAGGAAAACCCTGCCTCATCTTGCTCCAGTTTAGGTAAAATTATAATTTTCAGCCTGGTTTGGCTCAATTTTAGGCAGAATTCCCAATTTTCAATCTGATTTTGCTAAATTTTAGGCAAAAATTCCCAGTTTTCAGGCAAATCCTTTCCAATTTTGCTCAATTTTCAGCAAAATTCCCAATTTTCAGGAAAACCCTGTGTGATCTTGCTCCAGTTTAGGCAAAATTCTAATTCTCAGCCTGGTTTGGCTCAATTTTAGGCAGAATTCCCCATTTTCAACCTCATTTTGCTCAATTTTAGGCAAAAATTCACAAATTTCAGGCAAATTCTTTCCAATTTTACTCAATATTCAGCAAAATTCCCAGTTTTCAGGAAAACCCTGCCTGATATTGATCAAGTTGAGGCAAAATTCTAATTTTCAGCCTGGTTTGGCTCAATTTTAGGCAGAATTCCCCATTTTCAATCATGTTTTGCTCAATTTTAGGCAAAAAATCCCAATTCTCAGGAAAATCCTGCTCAATTTTGCTCAATTCCTTGGCAAAATTCTCAATTTTCAACCCTGTTTTGTTCAGGTTTAGGCAAAATTCTAAAGCTCAGGCAAATCCTGCCCGATTTTGCTCAATTTTAAGGAAAATTCCCCATTTTCAGGAAAACCCTGCCTGATTTTGCCCAATTTTGGGTAAAATCACTTGATTTTCAGGCAAATCCTGCCCAATTCTGTCCAATTTTGCTCCATTTTGGTGAAAATTGCCTAGTTTTCAAGCTGATTCTGCCCAACCATGCATTATTTTGGTTGAAATAATCCAATTTTTAGGTAAATCTTGCCTGATTTTAGCCAATTTTGCCCCAAATTGACTGATTTCCAGGCAAATCATGCTGATTCCACTCAATTTTGCCCAATTTTGGTCAAAATTACCACATTTCCAGTGAAACCCTGCCCGATTCTGCTGGATTTGGGGCAAAACCGTTCAATTTTCAGGCAAACCCAGCCTCATTTTGTGTCATTTTGGGGGAAATTCCCAACTTTTCAGGCTACTTCTGCCTGATCCTGCCCAATTTGGTGCAAATTTGCCCAATTTTCCAGCAAACTGCCCAATTCTTCCCAATTTTTTGCTAAATCTCCCTATTTTCAGGCAAACCTGCCTCGTTCTTCCTGATTTGGCCCAAATTTGCTCAAAAATTCCCAATTTTCAGGCAATCCCTGACCCATTCTTCCTGGTTTTGCTTGTTTTGGGGTAAAATTGCCCAATTCTGCCCACTTTTGCTCCGTTTTGAGGCAAACCCTGCCCAATTTTGCCTAATTTTGGGGAAAACCGTGCAGTTTTTAGTTAAACTCTGCCTGATTCTGCCTGATTTTGAGTCAAATCCCTCGATTTTCAGGCAAACCCTGTCTGATTCTGTGGGATTTTGGACAAAACCACTGAATTTTCCACAATTCCCAGTTCTGCAGGGTTTTTCCCAATTTTGGGCAAAATTCACCAAATTTCAGGCAAAATTCACCAAATTTCAGGCAAACCCTTCCCGATTTTCCCAATTTCATCTGATTTTAGTCAGAGTTTCCCCATTTTCAGTAAAACCCTGCCTGCGTCTGTCGGATTTGGGGCAAAATTGCCCAATTGCCCAATTCTGCCCAATTTTGCTCAATTTTGAGCAAATTTTCAGCAAATTTGATCAATTTTGAGCAAAATTCCCCAGTTCTCAGGCAAACCCTGTCTGGTTTTCCCCATTTTGCCCATTTTCTCCCCAATTTCCGCCCATTTTCCCCCATTTCCTTCCATTTCCCCCCATTTCTTCTCATTCTTGCCCATTTACCCCCCATTTTCCCCAATTTTTCCCCAATTTCCTTCCATTTCCCACATTTTCCCCTCATTTTCTCTATTTTTTCCCCATTTCCTCCTGATTTTCTCATATTTTCCCCGATTCCCCCCTTTCCTCACTTTCGCCCAGTTTTCCCCCAATTTTCCCCCATTTTCCCACATTTTTCCCCCTTTTCCCCATTTTCACCCATTCCCCCTCATTTCCCCCCATTTTCCCCAATTTTCCCCCATTTTTCCTAACTTTCCCACACTTTTGCCCCTTTTCCCCAGTTTCACCCATTGCCCCTCATTGCCCCTCATTACCCCCCATTTTCCCCTATTTTTTCCCAATTTTCCCCCATTTTCCCTAGTTTTCCCACAACTTCCCCCATTTTTCAGGCAGTTTTCCCATTTCCCCCCCGTTTTCCCTGCAATTTTCCCATTTTCCCCCCATTTTCCCCCATTTCCTGCAGCTGCCTCTGCTGGAGCTCTTGGTTGCTCATGGAGCCGACCTCAATTCCAAGTCGGAGCTGGATGAGACCCCCCTGGGTGAGTCCTGACCTTTGTGTCCATCCCTATTCCCATCCCTTTGTGTCTCCATCCCTATTCCCACCCTTTGTGTCTCCATCCCTGTTCCCATCCCTTTGTGTCTCCATCCCTATTCCCATCCCTTTGTGTCTCCATCCCTATTCCCATCCCTTTGTGTCCCCATCCCTATTCCCATCCCTTTGTGTCTCCATCCCTATTCCCATCCCTTTGTGCCTCCATCCCTATTCCCATCCCTTTGTGTCTCCATCCCTATTCCCACCCTTTGTGTCTCCATCCCTATTCCCACCCTTTGTGTCTCCATCCCTATTCCCACCCCTTTGTGTCTCCATCCCTATTCCCATCCCTTTGTGTCTCCATCCCTATTCCCACCCTTTGTGTCTCCATCCCTATTCCCATCCCTTTGTGTCTCCATCCCTATTCCCACCCTTTGTGTCTCCATCCCTATTCCCATCCCTTTGTGTCTCCATCCCTATTCCCATCCCTTTGTGTCTCCATCCCTATTCCCACCCTTTGTGTCTCCATCCCTATTCCCACCCTTTGTGTCTCCATCCCTATTCCCACCCTTTGTGTCTCCATCCCTATTCCCATCCCTTTGTGTCTCCATCCCTATTCCCACCCTTTGTGTCTCCATCCCTATTCCCACCCTTTGTGTCTCCATCCCTATTCCCACCCTTTGTGTCTCCATCCCTATTCCCACCCTTTGTGTCTCCATCCCTATTCCCATCCTTGTGCTCCATCCCTATTCCCCCTTTGTGTCCCATTCCCACCCTTTGTGTCTCCATCCCTATTCCCATCCCTTTGTGCCTCCATCCCTATTCCCACCCTTTGTGTCTCCATCCCTATTCCCACCCTTTGTGTCTCCATCCCTATTCCCATCCCTTTGTGTCTCCATCCCTATTCCCACCCTTTGTGCCTCCATCCCTATTCCCACCCTTTGTGTCTCCATCCCTATTCCCACCCTTTGTGTCTCCATCCCTATTCCCACCCTTTGTGTCTCCATCCCTATTCCCACCCTTTGTGTCTCCATCCCTATTCCCATCCCTTTGTGTCCATCCCTATTCCCACCCTTTGTGTCTCCATCCCTATTCCCACCCTTTGTGTCTCCATCCCTATTCCCACCCTTTGTGTCTCCATCCCTATTCCCATCCCTTTGTGTCTCCATCCCTATTCCCACCCTTTGTGTCTCCATCCCTATTCCCATCCCTTTGTGTCCATCCCTATTCCCACCCTTTGTGTCTCCATCCCTATTCCCATCCCTTTGTGTCTCCATCCCTATTCCCACCCTTTGTGTCTCCATCCCTATTCCCACCCTTTGTGTCTCCATCCCTATTCCCATCCCTTTGTGTCTCCATCCCTATTCCCACCCTTTGTGTCTCCATCCCTATTCCCACCCTTTGTGTCTCCATCCCTATTCCCACCCTTTGTGTCTCCATCCCTATTCCCATCCCTTTGTGTCTCCATCCCTATTCCCACCCTTTGTGTCTCCATCCCTATTCCCACCCTTTGTGTCCCCATCCCTATTCCCATCCCTTTGTGCCTCCATCCCTATTCCCATCCCTTTGTGTCTCCATCCCTATTCCCACCCTTTGTGCCTCCATCCCTCATTCCCAATCCCATTCCCGGTATTCCCAATCCCATTCCCGGTATTCCCGCTGCCTCCAGACGTCTGTGCCGATGAGCGCACCCGCTCCAAGCTCCTGGAGCTGAAGCACAAGCGTGCTGCAGTCCTGAAATCCCAGGAAAAGCACAAATCCCTGCTCCAGCGCCGCGCTTCCAGCGCCGGGAGCCGCGGGTGAGGCTGGGAATGGGGCCGGGATCCATGGGATGGGGATGGGAAGGAGCTGGGAATGCCACGGAGCAGCTAAAGGGGGATGCAGGGAATGTGGAGAGGGGTTGGGATAAGGGATGGGAAGGGGGAGTTTGGGTTCTGATGGGAAGGGATGGATGGGAGCTTGGGGTGTTGGGATGAGGGTGGTGGGGACATGGGAATGGGTTGAGTGGGAATGGTCTGGATGCTCCAGTGTGCGTGGATGGGGCTTGGAGCATCCTGGTCCATTGGGATGTATCCCTATGGAATGGGATGAGTCTCTGGGGCTTGGAGCATCCTGGTCCATTGGGCTGTATCCCTATGGATTGGGATGCATCTCTGGGGCCTGGAGCATCCTGGTCCATTGGGATGTATCCCTATGGAATGGGATGCACCTCTGGGGCCTGGAGCATCCTGGTCCATTGGGATGTATCCCTATGGAATGGGATGCACCTCTGGGGCTTGGAGCATCCTGGTCCATTGGGCTGTATCCCTATGGATTGGGATTGAGCTTCTGGGGCTTGGAGCATCCTGGTCCTTTGGGATGTATCCCCATGGAATGGGATGTGTCTCTGGTGGCTGGCGCATCCCGATCCATTGGGATGTATCCCTATGGATTGGGTTGTGTCTCTGGGGCTTGGAGCATCCTGGTCCCTGGGGCTGTATCCCTATGGGTTGGGATTGAGCCTCAGTGGCCTGGAGCATCCTGGTCCATTGGGATGTATCGCTATGGGTTGGGATTGAGCTTCTGGCCTTGGAGCATCCTGGTCCCTGGGGTTATATCCCTATGGAACGGGATTGAGCCTCAGGGGCTTGGAGCATCCTGGTCCCTTGTTCTGTATCCCTGTGGATTGGGTTGTGTGTCTGGGGCTTGGAGCATCCTGGTCCATTGGGATCTATCCCTATGGAATGGGATGCGTCTCTGGTGCCTGGAGCATCCTGGTCCATTGGGCTGTATCCCTATGGGTTGGGATTGAGTTTCTGGGCTTGGAGCATCTTGGTCCCTGGGGTTATATCCCTATGGAATGGGATTGAGCCTCAGTGGCCTGGAGCATCGTGGTCCATTGGGATGTGTCCCTATGGATTGGGTTGAATCTATGGGGTTGGAGCATCCTGGTCCCTGGTTCTGTATCCCTATGGAATGGGATGCGTCTCCGCTGCCTGGAGCATCCTGGTCCCTGGGGTTATATCCCTATGGAATGGGATGCGTCTCTGGTGCCTGGAGCATCCTGGTCCATTGGGCTGTATCCCTATGGGTTGGGATTGAGTTTCTGGGCTTGGAGCATCTTGGTCCCTGGGGTTATATCCCTATGGAATGGGATTGAGCCTCAGTGGCCTGGAGCATCGTGGTCCATTGGGATGTGTCCCTATGGATTGGGTTGAATCTATGGGGTTGGAGCATCCTGGTCCCTGGTTCCGTATCCCTATGGAATGGGATGTGTCTCTGGTGCCTGGAGCATCCTGGTCCATGGGGATGTATCCCTATGGAATGGGATGTGTCTCTGGTGCCTGGAGCATCCTGGTCCATTGGGCTGTATCCCTATGGAATGGGATTGAGCCTCAGTGGCCTGGAGCATCCTGGTCCTTTGGGGTGTATCCCTATGGAATGGGATGTATCTGTGGTGCCTGGAGCATCCTGGTCCATTGGGATGTGTCCCTATGGATTGGGTTGAATCTATGGGGTTGGAGCATCCTGGTTCCTGGTTCTGTATCCCTATGGAATGGGATGTATCTGTAGTGCCTGGAGCATCCTGGTCCATTGGGATGTATCCCTATGGAATGGCATTGAGCCTCAGTGGCCTGGAGCATCCTGGTCCTTTGGGATGTATCCCTATGGAATGGGATGTATCTGTGGTGCCTGGAGCATCCCGGTCCATTGGGATCTATCCCTATGGAATGGGATTGAGCCTCAGTGGCCTGGAGCATCCTGGTCCCTTGGGATCTATCCCTATGGAATGGGATTGAGCCTCAGTGGCCTGGAGCATCCTGGTCCCTTGGGATCTATCCCCATGGATCGGGATCGAGTTCCCGGCCCCGGAGCCCCCCCCCCGCCCCATTCCTCCCCCCATGGCTCCGGCTCCGTCTCCACCCCGTGCCCGGTGTTCCAGGAGGGTCGTGCTCCGCGCCAGCCTCTCGGAGCGCAGCAGCCGCTACTGGCGCGAGCACCAGCGCGAGGCCCTGGTGTGGGAGCGGCGCCACCAGGAGCCCCAGGTGATTCCCAATGGGAGCGGGCTGGGAGCAATGGGAGCGCTCCCGGCGTTCCCAACCCCTCCCCTGCCCCCCCTCTGTGCTTGGGCCCTGTAGAATCCAATGGGATCGGAGCCGGAGCAGCCCAATGGGGCCCTCAACCCCCCCCACACCTTGGCCGACCTCAAGCGGCTGCGGGCGGCTTCTAAGGGGCAGCGGCTGGAGCGGGAGCATCGGGATCGGGAGCATCGGGATCAAGATCAGGATTGGGATCGAGATCGGGATCATCGGGATCGGGATCGAGATCGGGATTGGGATCATCAGGATCATCGGGATCATCAGGATCGGGATCAGTGGGATCATCAGGATCGGGATCAGGATCGCAATCAGGATCACCGGGATCGCGATCGGGATCATCAGGATCTAGATTGGGATGATCGGGATCGAGATCATCAGGATCGAGGTCATCGGGATCAGGATTGGGATCATCGGGATCCAGTTCGGGATCATCAGGATCCAGTTCGGGATCATCGGGATCGAGATCGGGATCATTTGGATCAAGATCGGGATCATCAGGATCGAGATTATTGGGATCGAGATCATCGGGATCGAGATCGGGATCATCGGGATCAGGATCATCGGGATCATTGGGATCCGGAGCCGCCGCTCCTGAAGCTGACGGCGCCCTTGGAGGAGGCTCCGGGTGGGAAGCGCCGGTGCTGCCGGGTGATGTGAGAGCAGCAGGGGTGGGACCAGGGAGCCTTCGGGATCCTTTGGGATCTTCGGGATCTTCAGGATCCTTGGGATCTTTGGGACCTTTGGGATCTTTTGGAGGTTCAGAATCTTCGGGATCTTTGGGATCTTTGGGATCCTTCGGGATCTTCGGGGTCCTTTGGGATCCTTTGGGACCTTTGGAATCTTTTGGAGGTTCGGGATCTTCGGGATCTTTGGGATCTTTCGGGATCTTCGGGGTCCTTTGGGTCTTTGGGACCTTTGGAATCTTTTGGCTCTTCGGGACCTTCGGGATCCTTGGGATCTTCGGGATCTTTGGGACATTTTGGATCTTTTGGAGCTTCGGGATCCTTTGGATCCTTTGGGATTTTCGGGATCTTTGGGGCCTTTGGGATCTTCAGGATTTGGACGTTTTTCTTCCCAAATATTCCTGGTTTTTGGTGGTTTTTCTTGCCCTGAAGGTTCTTGGATGGGGGGGCAGCCCCATAACGAGGGGGTGTGTGGGGCAGCCCCATAGCAATGGGTGGCTTCGGGGCAGCCCCATAGTGAGGGTGGGTTGTGGGGCAGCCCCATGGCAATGGGGAGCTGTGGGGCAGCCCCATAGTGAGGGGTGGTTATGGGGCAACCCCATAGCAATGGGTGGTTTCAGGGCAGCCCCATAGTGAGGGTGGGTTGTGGGGCAGCCCCATGGCAATGGGGAGCTGTGGGGCAGCCCCATGGCAATGGGGAGCTGTGGGACAGCCCCATGGCAGTGGGTGGTTGTGGGGCAGCCCCATAGCAATGGGTGGTTGTGGGGCAGCCCCATGGCAATGGGGAGCTGTGGGGCAGCCACAGATGGGGGCATCTGTGAGGCAGCCCCATAGCCATGGGTGTCTATGGGGCACCCACTGGGGGGGGTGTTGGCTGTAGGGTGCCCCATAGCAAAGTATATCTGTGGGGCACCCATGGGAGGGATCTATGGGAGGGATCTATGGGGCACTTACTGGGGATGTCCTATGGGGCATCCTATAGCAAGAGGTCACTGTGGGGCACCCCATAGCAATGATTCTATGGGGCATCAATGGAGGGGGAATCTATGGGGCACCCCATAGTGGGGCAGCCACACTGCAGGGGGTCTATGGGGCAGCCATGGGGGTCACAAAGCACATCTATGGGGCACCCCATAGCAAGGCGCATTATGGGGCACCCCATAGCAAGAGGAAAGGGTCTCTGTGGGCACCCATGGCTGGTGCCTATGGGGCGCCCCATAGCAATGAGCTGCTGTGGGGCGCCCACACAGTCCCTATGGGGCACCCATGTTGGTCCCTATGGGGCGCCCCATGGCCAGGCCCATCTATGGGGCACGGGGGGTGGGGTGTGTTCCCATTCCCTCCCCCCCCACCTCCATAGGGCGCTATGGGGCAGCAGCAGCACCCCCCTGCCTATTGGGTGCTGGTGAAGGTCAGAGGCCACCCCAGCCCCATAGCTCCTCCTCCTGCCCCATAGCACCCATAGCAGCCACAGCACGGAGGTGAGGCGCTGGGGAGGGTTATGGGGCTCTGCCCCATAGCGCTATGGGGCAGGGAGGGGGGGTGTGGTGGTGGTGGCTGTGTGGGGCTGATAAGGGGGAACGGGTGCCCCACAGTGCACCCTGGGGGGGAATGTGTGGGGCTGGGCCCCATAGAAGGGGGGGGAGGAGCACATGGGAAGGGGTTGATGTGGGGTGCCCCACATGTGGGGGTTGGAGCAACCATGGGGGGTGTTGTCTATGGGGTGCCCCATGGCAATGGCTGGCTGTGGGGCACCCATGGGGGTGTCTATGGGCCCCCCACATTGGTCTCTATGGGGTGCCCCATAGCAAGGCTGTGTCTATGGGCCCCCCACATTGGTCTCTATGGGGTGCCCCATAGCAACCCCCTCCCTGGCCCTTGTGGTGCCACCGCCCCCCCCCCTTCAACACCGCAGCCAATCAGCTTCGGGTGGGCGGGGCCAGCGGCAGCCGCTCCGCTCCCTGATTGGCCGGCAGGGGGCGCGCGGAGGAGCCGTTAGGGCCATCGGGGGTCGCAGGAGGACAGTGGGGGGGCCATGGAGCCGCGCGGGTCAGTGGGGCGCTATGGGAAGCTATGGGGCGCTATGGGGCGCTATGGGGTGCTATGGGGTCACTATGGGGCGCTATGGGGTCACTATGGGGAGCTATGGGGTCAGTATGGGGAGCTATGGAGTCACTATGGGGAGCTATGGGGTCACTATGGGGAGCTATGGGGCGCTATGGGGTGCTATGGGGTCACTATGGGGCGCTATGGGGTCACTATGGGGAGCTATGGGGTCAGTATGGGGAGCTATGGAGTCACTATGGGGAGCTATGGGGTCACTGGGGTGCTATGGAGTCACTATGGGGAGCTATGGAGTCACTATGGGGAGCTATGGGGTCACTGGGGAGCTATGGAGTCACTATGGGGAGCTATGGAGTCACTATGGGGAGCTGTGGGGTCACTATGGGGAGCTATGGAGTCACAATGGGGAGCTATGGGGTCACTATGGGGAGCTATGGAGTCACAATGGGGAGCTATGGAGTCACTATAGGGAGCTATGGGGTCACCTTGGGGAGGTATGGAGTCACTATGGGGAGCTATGGGGTCACTATGGGGAGCTATGGGGTCACTATGGGGAGCTATGGAGTTACTATAGGGAGCTATTGGGTCACTATGGGGAGCTATGGGGTCACTATGGGGAGCTATGGGGTCACTATGGGGACCTATGGGGTCACTATAGGGCGCTGTGGAGCGCTAATGACCACCATGGGGCGCTGTGGGTCTCTCTATAGCTCTGTAGGGCCTTTGGTGGTCGCTATGGGGCGCTGTTGGGCTGTGGAGAGCGCTGTGGGGCGCTATGGGGCCCGGGGGGGGCTCTGTGGGCCGCCGTGGGGGGTGCTATGTGGCACTGTGGGGAGGGGTCACTATGGGGCCCCATGGATTGCTATGGGGTGCTATGGGGCGCTGCATTGTGCTTTGGGGCTCCCCTGTGTCCCCCCCATTCCCCCCATTAATGTCGCCCCCCCCCATGGCTTTGTCCCCGTGGGTCCCAGCCCTACGTGTCCCCCCCGTGGGTCACCCCATAGCCCCGAACCCAGCCCCATGGCCCTGTGTTCTGGCTCCGTATCCCTGTATCCCAATCCCATATCCCCATATCCCATATCCCCCCCCGTCCCATATCCCGATATCCCCATATCCTCATGCTCCCTATCCCCATGTCCCGTATCCCAATATCCCACTATCCCAATGCCATAGCCTCATGTCTCTCTCTCCCATATCCCAATCCCATATCCCTCTATCCCATATCCGGGTACCCCATGTCCCATATCCTGATATCCCATATCCCGATATTCTGATATCCCATATCCTCATATATCCTGATATCCCTATATCCCCATATCTCATATCCCTGTATTCCATATCCCAGTGTCCCTATATCCCCATATCCCAATATCCCATGTCCAGATATCCTGGTATCCTATATCCCGGTATCCCTATATCCCCGTATCCCGATATCCCATGTCCCATATCCCGATATCCCATATCCTGATCCTGGTATATCCCGGCATCCCATATCCCGATATATCCCGATGTATCTCGGTATCCTATATCTTGATATATCCCGATATATCCTGATTCCTGATATGTCCTGATATACCCTAATATATCCCAGTATCCCATATCCCGATATATCCCGGTATCCAAAATCCGGATATATCCTGGTATCCCATATCCTGGTGTATCCTGATATATCCTGATATACCCCAATATATCCTGATATCCCATATCCCGATATACCCCAGTATATCCTGGTATCTCATATCCCGATATATCTCGGTATATCCTGATATACCCCGATATACCCCAATATATCCTGGTATCCCATATCCTGATATACCCCAATATATCCCGGTATCCCATATCCTGGTATACCCCGATATACCCCAATATACCCCAATATATCCTGGTATCCTATATCCCGAGATATGCTGATATACCTCGGTATACCCCAATATATCCCGGTATCCCATATCCCGATGTATCTCGATATACCCCGACATACCCCAATATATCCCAGTATCCCATATCCTGATATATCCCGATATACCCCGACATACCCCAATATATCCTGGTATCCCATATCCCAATATATCCCGATATACCCCTACTTACCCCACTATATCCCGGAATCCCATATCCCAATATATCCCAATATACCCCGACTTACCCCACTATATCCCGGTATCCCATATCCCGATATATCCTGATATATCCCGATATATCCCTATATACCCCACTATATCCCGGTATCCCATATCCCAATATATCCCGATATATCCCGATATATCCCTATATACCCCACTATATCCCGGTATCCCATATCCCGATATATCCCTATATACCCTACTATAGCCCGGTATCCCATATCCCGATATATCCCGATATATCCCTATATATCCCTATATACCCCACTATATCCCGGTATCCCATATCCCGATATATCCCTATATACCCCACTATATCCCGGTATCCCATATCCCGATATATCCCTATATACCCCACTATATCCCGGTATCCCATATCCCGATATCTCCCGATACAATCCCCCGCTCCCCTCCCCCCCGTGTCCCCGTGTCCCGCTCCCTGTGACCTCGGCGCTGCCGCCCGGGGCGGAGCCGTTCCCCGCTCCCCGCTCCCCGCTCCCGGTGCCCGCTCCCGGGTCAGTCCCGGCGCGGATGCGCGCGCTGAGGGCGCTGCGGTCCCGCAGGGCCATGGAGGGACCGGGACCGGGATCGGGACCGGGACCGGGACCGGGATCGGGATCGGGACCGGGACCGGGACCGGGACCGGGATCGGGATCGGGATCGGGATCGGGACCGGGATCGGGATCGGGATCGGGACCGGGACCGGGACCGCGATCGGGATCGGGACCGGGTCCGGGATCGGGATCGGGATCGGGATCGGGATCGGGATCGGGATCGGGCTCGGGGC